AGACAAATGAGTGTGGGGAACAGACAGCAAGCCAGGGCTGGCTACCCATGTCACAACACGCACTGTTCCCCTGCCTGTCTGAGGACAAAGCCTCCCACTCCCAGGAGCCTTCATTAGGATTCGGAGCATCAAGAAAAACTGAGCAGAGCTGAGGCTACACAAATGCATAATTTATAAAGAAAGTCAGAAACTAGAACATACAGGGAGAGGGGAGGGGAGGGGAGGGGAGGGGAGGGGAGGGGAGGCAGATAATCAAGGTGCCTCAGGAGAAGGGAAAACTAGTCTGCCCCGACTCCCACCCCAAAGCCTGCCAGACAGGCGCCAACAACAGGCCTGGCAGGAAGACATCAAACTGAATTTCTGTAACAAAACCTGTAACACAAAACAAGATGGCCATTGCCAGCAGCAACTCGGTGTTGGCTTGGGAAAGTCCCTGTTTTTTATATTCCCTTGTTCCTTTCAATGGGAACTGGAAATGAGGGGAAGAGATTCTGGAATTTATGAGTTCAGTCTGTTACATTGAGCCAGCAGCATAACTTAGGTTTAAGTGTGCTTTTCTTTAGGCCAAATTCTGTCTATATTTCACTGGTTTAAAATCTACCTCTACCTGTAAAACAGCCTACTAGAAAGAAAAAGACAACCGGCAAATTTTCAACATCCAAGTCAGGAAGCCTCAGCCACTGCTGCCATCTCAAACATGTTTGTCACAAATTGCTCAGGAGTTTACTCCAATAAGGGAGACCTTTGAGAAGTTGAGGTTTCTAAAAGTTGAATAAAGAAGTACATATACAAAGTTTCAAAAAAAGGAATCAGGAAGAGCTTACTTTAAAGGTGTTGGGTTTTTACAGGGAAGGGACTTACTAGAGAGAGCATAACYATTTTAAACAAATGCCAAGAAATTATCTTCTTAATGGATTTCTATGCCAAATACACTTTGGTGGTTCTGTAGTGACAAATGGTGGGTCCTGATGCTGTGTCCCTACCTGGGTGACTCGCCCAGGGTCTTTAAATGAATTGCCTCCACMCTGCACTGCCAGTCCACTCACAGTGGCAAGCAAGGAATGGGGAGCCCCTTATTTGCCTATTCTTGTAATGCCCGCAGGACATAATCAAATGGCTTGTTAAAGGTAGTGTTTAGAACAGAAAGCTAAACAGCYTACAAAAACCTGCTTTCAGGTTGCACAACTGTTGTTAAACTCGTGTGGTGAACAGGTACATTCTGTGGGTTGTGAAGTGTATCTCTACACAGCTATAAGACATATTAAATGGCATGGACCTGCACATAACTGAATGAGGCTGAGGGATTCTGAGTAYTCATTTCAAATGTCTTCATCAAATGCCTATGGCTGCATCAGCAACAGCCACAGGTCCCATGGATGCCGGGATGAACGAGACACTGTCCTGTCCATTTCAGACAAGGATAGACATACACTGGATTTCCCTCCAGAAATGTGCAAAGTCCAACGAGACCCAAAGGAAAGGCTCAAAGCTAACCTTGTCTGASAGAACTGGGGAACACATTGCAAGGAAGAGCGACACTTGAGTGTGGGGAGAGAATTCACGGGTAAATGAGCAGCAATGGGCAGTACAGCGTAAAGAGCAGAGGCTGGCAGGGGACCAGGGTGCTCTGAGCAGAGCAAATTCAGAAGCTAGACTCCCAGACAAGAGGGGTCACCACGGACATGGCCTTCTTCTTAGAGGCAATGTGCCCACAGAGGGCCCTGGCGCTGCCCCTGTGCTGACACTGGTAGACGGAGAGCTCTGGGACATTTTGTATAAATATACACATACATGCTCATACACATTCATATTCACATATATTATTACCCCTTAAAATTTCCACCCACATATGGACCTACATATTTGACAAATGATTTTCAAATCAGCTTCAATTGAAAGTTCAAAGAAAAGTACTGATACTTTACTTTAAACTATAACAAGACATGGGCTTCAAAGAAAAATTCAGTTACTATAGTTTCAAGGTTGAATGAYCCCAAAAAACTCACAGGTTAAAGGCTTGCATCAAGGTAGAGGTGCCAGAAGATGCATGGTTCTGTAAGAGGCAGGGCCTGATGGACTCCCGGGGCAGTGGGGGTGTGGGGGCATGCCCTGAAGGGGCCTCTGTCCTGCTTCTCTCTGCTCCTAGCTGTGATGTGAATGCTTTGCTTACACCACCAACCGACCGACCGTTACCATCTGGCAATCTCATCACAGGTCCAAAGCATCAGGCCACCTGAACTTGGACTGCAACCTCCAGATAATAAACCCATKTTCTTTATAAGCTACATGCCCAAGGTAGCTCACTAGAGTCATGTGATTACTATAGTCACAAAGAAAAGGCTGGGATTCAGAATGGCTTCAAATACCTCCACACCCGAGGCCAAGCAAACCAGGTTTCTAAGCTAGAATCTAACACACAAATAGTCAGTTAGCACAAAGATAGAGTCAAATTAAAATTCATTTTAAAACCTGCCCTGTTTTAAGATGATAGCAAATTTTTCTTTTTTAAGTTAAAAACTGAACAGTTCCTGGTGTAAAGAGGAGTGAGAATCACCAAACTTAAGTGCATTCCTGTCAAAAAGGCTTACTGTGGTCCGGTTACACYTCCAGGCTGAGCTCCCAGTTTACAGGATATGCGGGAATAAGAAAAAATTCAAACACACCACCAAGGCAGGCGGCTTCAGCAGGATACTGTTGTAAAACCAGCCTGCAAGAAGTCAATGTCACTTAAAAAAACAGGTTCCCAATTTGGAAAAGACTACACAAACAACGATAATGAGCACATCTTGGTTAATTTWWAAAAAAAAAAAGCTATCAAAGATGCCATTGGCACTGCAGGCAAATGTGGRCAGAGAGCAAATGGAGATGATGGGGTGGACACTGCCAGTGTTCCTGGGCATGAGGTGGGTGCGAGATCCCATGAGAGTAGGGCCTTCTCTTTTTGTGAGCTGCTCTGGTGGAAGTCACCCCAGGTTCTGCTGAGGAGCACGTCTGCAAGTTTCCCTGAACATTCACCCCCTCAGGGGGAGCAGCCCAACAAGGGCCATCAGCCTCTGCCCTTCCTTATACTTAGGAGACTGCAAATGTATGCAGGAAGAAGGTCAGAATGTGCACTATTTCAAATGACTCAAAATCAAACAACAAAATTCTGTGGCTCAGTGGTAGAGCACTCGCCTAGCACGGGCAGGGCCTGAGTTCGATCCTCAGCACCTCATAAAAATAAAGGTATTGTGTTGTGTCCATCTACACCTAAAAAATAAATATWAAAAAAAAAAAAGAAACAGTCAAAAAAAAATAAGTGAGATAGCGCAAGGTGCAGGCATTGTCAGGTTATCGATGTTCTCAACTCTTCTGGTTGTAGGGAATTTTTTCCCAAGTGAATACCGGGAAGCAATCCACATTGCCAAAAACAAAACCAACCACAACAAGAATCCAAGTAAAACGCACTCTATTGCTTGAGACTAGTTTCCAAGTAATTAAAAGCATTCAAGTTTCTAAGAAAGGACAAGTTCTAAAAACTGTTACTCAACAGACTGCAAGTACACCTACGCCACTTGAAAACCCAGTCGGAAAACCAGAGGAGCAAAGATATCCAGACGCTGGCCACATTTGCTGCCACTCTTGCTAAACTGACATGGAGCATGATGGTGYCTTGGGTGGAAGAAGTGTCCAGGCTTTCTTTCCTTCAAAAAAAGTATCTGTACCACTGGCCTTCTCTTTCAGTGAGCCACTCTCAMGGAGGTCAAGCCAGGCTCTGCAGAAGGACCACATCTGGAAGTTTCCCTGCACATTCGCTCCCATCACGGGGAGCAGTCCAACAAGGGCCATCACCAAACAGTGCCATTCAGCCCTCAACCTCTGCTCCTTCCTAAGCAAAGTCGCCATGTGACACCTCCAGAGGACACAGTGAACAGAGCCCTGCCTGGCACCATTACCTGACTGGCCTCATCACCTCTGCATTAGCAGACAGGCAATCGAAGCCTGAGGAGCCCTCCAGCCACAGCAGCTGACAGTAATGAGAATATTACACACTATGTGAACACGTTCAGGAATGTCTCTGTCTACACCATCATTATATTGCATAATTGAGCTTTTGCTACACATTCCAGGAATAGGAAGTAAAATATTTTCACATTTTGCTTGGCTGAGTATATAACAAATGTGATAAAACTGAACAAATAGGCGGTGGAGAAGGAGGAGATGGGCAAGGAGGGGAGGAGATGGAGGGAGGCAGGGGGCAGAAGGAGGAGGGAGGTGGAAGCAGAAGAGAGCCGGAAGAGAAGGGAAGGTGGCAGAGATGGGTGAGAAGGAGATGGAGGAGGAGGAAGAGATGGAGGGTGAGAAGGGGTGGGGGGAGAAAGGGAGGCAAGAAGAAGAAACAGGCTGCAGTAGAGGAGGGGAGGAGGGAGAGAGGCGGAGGCTGCAGGGAATGCAGAGGAGGGGAGGAGTAAAGGTGAAGAGATAAAGGAGGAAGAAGAAATGAGGAAGATGAGGAAGGACAGTAAGCAAACAAAGAGAAAAGCCACTTGGGGGAGGGGGTAGAGCTAGGGCCGGAGCCCAGGATGCTCTCCCACCAAGCTAGATTCCCTGGCCCTTTTCATTTATTTATTTTTGAGACAGGGTTTCCCCAATTTGCTAATGCTGGCTTTAAACCTGTGACCCTCCAGCCTTAGCCTCTGAGTACTGGGATTACAAGCAAATGCCACCACACCTGTCAAGAAAATCAATTTATGAGCATAGGCCCAGAAGCCAAAGACAAGAAAACCCCATCACTCTCCCTGACTGCCACACCCAGGACCCCCGATGTGGTTCCCAGGACAAGATAGCTGCAGCAACGAAACATGTTCTGAACCACTAGCTATGCTTTTCACTTGCCTCAATGTTACTTTTACAGTACCAATTTTAACTTTGACTTCTTTTAAAGTCTATTACTACTGGCCTGTAATTTTTTTTAAAATTAAAAATTTTTTTAAACTTAATCAAATTATTTATATACACACCTCCTTAAAAGACATCACTAGTGATTTCTGGCTTAACACTAGTTCATCTGGAAGCTTCCAGKCACAGGTGGTCATGAGTCCAGTAGTCTCCTTCTGGGAATCCACCCCTTCACAAAAGGAAAACCATTAAATGTAGAACATCTGCCACAAATTCTGGACAAAGCACGTCATTTCTATAATGTTCTGGTCTGCTCCCAGTAAAGATCTCTGAGCACCTGAGGCCGGAGAGCCCCACGTATCCAGCATTCTGAAAGCAGTCTATCCTTGGGGCCCAAAACATGGTAAGGTTTATGACAACAAAACATAATGCTTCTACAAGACTGAGGAGCACAAGACACACACTCATGCAGAGCCAGGAAACATTTACCATGCACTTGTCCAAATTATTAGCATCTGTTTTGTTTAAAAAAGGAGGAAAAAGAAAAATTAAGGAAAAAAATCAAAGTCAATAGAAAAAGAAAAAAAAATACAAACAGGCAGATTCCAAAAGAAAACCTAAAATGGCAAGATGCACATGCAAACCTGCAGCAACAAACTCATTCAGGGCAGCCAGAGGAGCCCCACAGCAAGCCTGGAGGAGCTCGGAGCCCCACGCACCTGACGCTGGCAGGGATGCGGGCAGAGGAGAATCTCAAGCACTCCTGTACACACAGCATGAACTGCAACCATCTTTTGAGAGAGGATTCTGGCAACATGACCCCCTTGAAGAATATACATACACCAAAACTCAATTCCTTTTTTTTTTTAATATTTATTTTTGGGGTATAGATGGACACAACACAATGTCTTTATTTTTATGTGGTACTGAGGATCGAACCCAGGTCCCTCGAGCGCTCTATCACTGAGCCACAATCCCAGCACTCAATTCCATTTTGACAAGCCATATACTGCAAGGAAATATCAGCAGACCATGTGTCCCACAAAAGTACAGCTGCTGTGAAAAGCAGTTCTGCAGTTTCTTAGAAAAACAAACATGCAGTACATGACCCAGCAAATGCACTCCTGGGCATTTATCTAAAAAAAAAAATGGAAACTCATGTTCAGGAAAAAAAAAAAGTGTATAAATGATCATGGCAGCTTTATTCATGATGGAACCAACCCAGATATCCTTTAGCAAGTAGTGCTTCACAAGTGTGCTCCATCCACACCTCTAAACACCACCCAGCAACAAAATGGGACAAGTAACCTCCACTCACAATTTAGACGGCTRTCCAGAGAATCATGCTGAGTGGGAACAGAGCCAGTCCCATATGTATGATATGATTCCATTTATAAGACACTCTTGATATGACAAAGCTATAGCAACAGAGRACTTCTAGTGATTTGGGGGGCTGGGAGCGGCATCTATCAGAGGRCAAGGAGGGATCTGTGTTGGTGGAACATTCT